ATGAGGATACAAGCAGAATGAATTCAGAAATCTACCGAAATATTTTGTCTGCCAATTTACAGAGAAATTCATCCAAACTTACCCGGAGGATGTTTATCATGCAGAAGGACTGTGACCCAAAGTATACTGTCAAATGTAGTAAAAACAGAACCAGTGAATAAACTTATACCAAAGCTTTATTGCACTTTACTCTGACTACTCGTCTATTGACAGATGTCAAAGGGTGCTTTTTATACCTCCTAAATCTTAAGAGGAGGTAACTGATGATTTATCAGTACAATAAACACAACAAAGAACTTCAAGAGAAAAATCTTCCGTATTAAATTCTTTCTAAAATGCTCTTATATATCTCCCGAAGAGGAGATCAAAGGAAGAAACCCCCTTGAAACAAGCAAGAACTGAAAGAGGCTGTGTTATAACGACTGGAAAAGCATCGCAAATGAATAATGCAACAGATTGGTGATGTCAATATGTCACAGGATTGATGCAAATAAGGGTCATGCAATTAAATGAATGCTATTTACTTTTTTAATCCGTTTTCGTAATTTCCTCAACATTTATTAAACTTTATTTAAATCGTCGTACAATATATTATTTAACCACATTATTATCGATTTTATTTATCTAAAAATATTTTAATTAGTAACTGATAAAATAGGGCATTTCTGACCGAAAGTATCGAAATATTGTTTTTAAAAGTTGATCTTCGCAAATAATTTCCTTTAAAGTAGAGATTTATTTCAACTTTTAATCGACCAATGAAAATTCCTTAGATGTGACGGCTTGCGAGCAGTTGATTTTGCTTCCTAGTGTTTATTCTTGCATTCGAAATTGTTTGCCGTTATCCTAATGACGTTTGTTGGGATTGCTCCCAAACTTTTTCGAACGGGTTAAGATCTGCACGAATACACTGGATACTTTTTAAATCAGTCAGTTTCTAACCTTCATTTCGGTGAGTATTCAATCGTCGAGAGAATTAAATGAACAGTTTGGGAATAAAAAACACTTTCCGGTCCGTTCAAGAAAAAGATTATAAAACATTTTAAATCCAAACAACTACAGGAGTTATATACGAGTGAATCAACAGTATAATTTAGATCAGATATATTTTTTATTTTTCAAATGCTCTCCTTTCATAATATAGACCCATCTACAATTTTCCCACAAGCCTGGCAAGTTAAATTAAAATTACTGAACATTTTAATATTTTTCTTTCGAATAAAAACACCCTAGCTCACGACTCGCTGATTCACATATTCTTCGAAAGTTAATTGTCTTTTTAGGATAAAAACAGATTCCTTTTATTTCTCGTGTACAAAATTCCTTTGCATTAACATGGAAAACAAACAAGATGGAATTTTATTTGTTTTTCTTGATCCACAAGTTTCTAATCGATTATGCTAAGATGTCAATGCCTCAGGTGCCGTTGAGCTAAACTGTGATCTCATATTTGCCATGGAAATACCGATAGAGCAACAATAGACTTGTAACATTTCCTTATGTGGGAGAAAGGCTTTACTGGAAATAATTAATCCCCTACAAGACAGCATAACCGATTTCGAACACCATTCAGTTTGAAAAATATATCCAGCCCAAGAATAGCAAGAATACACCATTTTTTGTATAGATCGTGAGAGAAGGAGTCAGGAACTTTCTAGAGCAATACAAGCATGTTTTAAAGCATGTTTACCGCTGGCTAGTATATATATGGAGCTAACTTTTATTTTAATGCAAGTAAAAGTCATTAGGAGTCGATGGAATAATGGATTTATAAAGACATAAAATGACGAACGACATTGCATTTAAATGTTTCCATAGTTGAAAGAAGACGAGGAAGCCGTAAGAGAGTTCTATAAGTACGAGAAATGTAACTATTAGCAATCTAACTAATGATTACAACTACTTCAAGAGTAAAAATATAAAACCTGATTGTCAATCTCGTAATGCGCTTAAATTCCTGAAGTCAAGGTACTAGTGAGGAAAACTCAGTAGAGCAATTACATGAACATATTTGTAATCAAGGCTACGTTACGGCAGTGGAAAAATTGAATGAAGCCAAGATGCGAGGTTAGGGCTGATAACGTCTCAGATTCTTTTGGGGATTTTGTCAAAAATCTCTAGACACATAAAAGAAATAAACAATATTTGATGCACCGACGATTGGTAGACTTATTAATGTACATGATAGATTCTGGTAAGAAGACTTGTCTAGAACTACATAGTAAACCAGTAATTTTAGTATCTGGTTCAATATAACCGTTCCACTTCATACCAGTAGAAAATATTAACGTTACGTACCCACACAGATAGACACTTGGATATGCTGGACAAAAACAAATCGAAGAGAAATAACGATAATGCTTCTTGTTGTTTTGTTTTTGATTTTATTAATTGTTCTAGCCGCTTCCAAAACTAATGTTTAAAAAAATATTTTAAAATGTTTTAAACGCCATGAAATATAATGATAATGTACTCTGTGAATTCTGTGTTAAAATATAAAATTAGTAAATTTCCTTGGTTTATATTTAGGATCTGAAGTCGTGATAGTAAATTTTCTATGTATTAAAAAATTTCTTTACTCTCGTTGAATTAGGATGGGTCAGAACAGAGATAAACAGTTTTTCAGATACCTTACCCCAAGTTTCAGTTACGTCTGTCGTAATTGACATAGATATACATTGCATAAAGATTTATCATCTCATAAAATCAAACTATTTTGTGAAAAAGTCAGAGAAAATTAATATTGTTAATTCTTCTCTGACATTACAGGGAGCCTAGAATTTGTTTTATCTTAGACATGAAACTTTCACCATCGTAATTACAGTTCCAAATCCCATAACCGTCTTTTCTTACACCCCGGTCCAACTTCCTTGTAGAGAATCAGGTTTATTGTCTGTATCTCAGAAATCGTAAAAAAATCGTCTGCGTTATCACTCATTTTAATCAATTCTGATTCTGAGTCATATAATTTGCTTCATAAACTGAGCAGTACGAAGTGAGACATAAATTTTTTTCTACACATTTCATGGCAAATTGGGTGGAAAATATTGACTAGCAAACGAAACATGATATAAAATTAGGTTCAAATTGCATATGTTTAACAGATCAGAATTCGATTTTGTATGACGTTCAGAATTTGGCTATCATCGAACAAAACAGTAAAAGACCAAAAAGAGTGATACACATTTTTGACGCATTATGTTTTTTTTAATCATTTTCTAACCTTTTACTTTTAAAGGATGGGAAACAACTTCATTGACCCATTCATTCCTATACCGGAAGACTTGTTGCGGTTTATCTTGGCCCCCGTCACTTTCTCGTATCATTCAAACTCCTTCTATACCACCTTAATGTTGCTGTGGCACGGCACGAAAATAGATACGTCATCAATGTACGCAGAAAACCTGGCTCGTGCTCCACCACGGACAGTGATTCTGTGTACAGCCGGACGCCCTGTCCATCAGTCGGCGAAGGAGGGGCTTCTACGCCAATGCGTAAAATAAGGGCGACAACGGGCAACCCTGACGGACCGACCGAGACAGTGCAATAGCGACTGAGCTTCTTCTGGTTACCTGTGCTGTAGCACATGGGAACGACACAAGAGGCTAATCCACTTGCAGAAGTCGGGTTCGAATCCGGTGGTCTGCAGGACAGTATCCAGGTATCGATGGTCAACCCTGTCGAATGCCTTGGACTAATCTCAATTGAAGAGCGCGCAACGCCTATCGTCTTCTACAACTTCTATGATCGTGCGGGTCAGATGCGGGTTTCTTTGAATTGTTCTTCCCCTCACAGCACAAGTCTGCTCATGTCCCAACAAGCACGCGACAACTGACTGCAACCTATCCGTCAGGAGCTTGGTCAAAATTTGTAATTCTCTGTTTAGCAGAGTTATGGGCCTGTAATCATCGAAATCCCACCCAACACTCTTGCTCTTTTTCAACGGCGTGATCACACCCCTTGAAATGTGGTCGAGGATGGATCCCTGTCGGAACCAATTGTTGAACACAACTAACAAATTCGGGACAAATATGTGCGACAGCCTCAAGTACATTTCATAGGGCGGACCATCAAGTCCAGGAGAATTACATCTGCTGACCTTCTTCAAAATCAAGTAAATTTCGCCCTCTGTGATCTCACCCTCGCAGCTAACTGATTCAGTCGGCGAAAGCCGAGGAAAGTCAACCAAATAGCTGCGAAATTCGTCACCACTGAGATCAGCTCCTTGGTGAAGCGGTTCTCGAAATGCCGCCGAAACGCATCACACATATCTTTAGTCGCACCCAGAGTACACCCCTCTGGGCTAATGACCTCACGAATGTGTCGGTCGGAACTTCGAATAGATGACAGTCGTTGGACAGCACACTAACATCAACGTCACAAAGAAAGTGTGTGTCCTGGATAGCGGACACATCCACACCAAAGGACTATAGATCATGAAGCAGATGGGCAGCCTTACTCTAATCTCTCAAGCGCTTCACATTCAAGTCAACTAGCTTAATAAACTTTCTAAGCCTGAGTTCTTAAACACAGTCTGCCGGTGCCTATATGGGACGTAATTAGTTCTTTCGTAACAATACCGTCGACGTCTATGGGAAACGTAATTTTAAGGTCCCTAAGTGGTGGGGGAGAAGAACCGGAGACTCTGTCTGAACCATTCCGAGCTTAAGGAAGGCACTTTTTGCCCCTCAACATGGACCCAGATATTAAGGTTTCCCCCGATGCTTCTAATAAGTGTAATAACACCGGTAGCGCCGGGAAAATTCCTTGGATTCTCCGTTGACTTCCCGTTGACGGAGGTACATTTGAAAAGAGGCCTCAAGAGGGCCTTCCTCGGGGAACTCACTGTCTACGATACCGGTTTTGTCCCCTCTAGGGACACGCTGCTTCTATTTTCCTTGAGATTGGTTGGGGGAGGGAGAAGAAGAAAACGGAGCCCTAGTAGGAGGGAGAGGCGGCTCATTGTCTTAGGAGATTTCTTTTAGTTCTTGCTGGTGCAGTAGGAGCAGATTGGGCCTTGGCATCTACCAGGGCTTCACCCTACTCTGCTCTCTTTTCCCATTTGTTGGTTTTAAAGTCTTCCTTGTCTTCTTCCTCGTCGCCTCTCCCTCTTTTCAATGATGAGGCATTTCCTCCAACCCCATATAGAGGTCCAGTTGACGCAACTCCTCAACGACCTGCTGTTGCTATTGTTGGAACTCCTTTACCTGGGGTTGAAGTTCTAGCTGCTGTTGCTGCACCGGCTGCTTCTGCTGCAGTTGCTAATCTTACTGCTGCCACTGCTGTTCTCGCTACTGTTCTCGCTGCTGCTCTTGCAGCTTCTGCCTTCAGCTGCTTATCTGCTGACTTAGTAGGTTCTTTACTGGGAAAATCCTGCTTCTGCTGCTGTTTGGCAGCACCCTTGTCTGGCACATCCTGCTGGGCTTGTAGCCTTCGCGTCCCTACTCACCACTACCTCAGTCCATTCACTACTGGGGACCTTCTTTGCTGCTTCCTCCTTGGGCTGCCTCTGTATTGTTTGCGTTGTTGGTTTTGTCTGTGGTATCGGTTTCTTAGTTAGACAACAACTTGGCCATGTGTCAGGCCGCACCACAAGCCCAACAGGAGGGGAAACAAATCTCCACAAATAAAAAAAAATGTTCCCACTACCGTAAGTAATGATGTTGGGTACCTCATTAAACTTGGGTCGAGTCAATGTCACCAGGATATCAAAATCCCTAGTTGCAATGGCCGACATGGAGGATACTCTATCTACAGAAGAGTAATCCGCATAGAAGGCCCCCAAATGGTCCTCTGTGATATACATGGGTGGGCACTCTATGCAAGGTAATCCGAGTTTTTCGGGTGCCCATATGATTAGCTTGGAGTATCATTGTCTTGGTGAGGAGGTTGCTCCCTGCCAGGCCCTTTGTGATTCTTCAGATACCAGCAGGATGTCTCACATGGCATTCAACCTTCTTGCCAACAATTTGGCCTCGATATTCAAAGCTTTTCGGGTTTCCTCCATAGCCTCCCTGCTGACAGCCATGAATTTCCATGAGATTGCCCTTGCAGCCATTGTCTCTATAACCGAAGGCAGCGGTAAAAGTTCATTATTAGAACTCTTTGATATAACTTAATCTGGGGATCCTCTCTGCACCTGGGCAGAGAGTTTCACCAGCACACTTCCAAAGTAATCCGGAGAGTGAGATATTTATTAACCGCCCCACACGGTCGGATGCTGCACAATGACAAGTTTACTGTGGGGATTCCGAGCTGGTAAACAGAAACTGGCTAACAGATTTCGTCACATTAACTTTTGAGAAAAATCTTTGAAAAGATATGAATCTATTTCTACGCCGTATACGTTAAATAGTAGGGTAAAGTGCGTTCTTTAGTTTTCGTTGGAAACCAGACTAGGAGAGTGACAACTCTGAATTCAAAGTCTGACGAAGACTTCATCACACACTATACACACCAGTGTGAAAACATGAAGAGGATTATTGGACCAATCTTTACATAGCATTTGCTGGACTGTGAAATGAATGTCTGAAATTACTTTCTCTGCTTTTTTTTATTGTTTTCTGATACCCAACAGTTGGTTTCAATTTTTTACCGGCCTTCGTATCTCCTCCTTGAACAACATAGTACTAGTCGCTTTGATCGTCGGCTATCTGTCCCCCGTTACTAAGGTTGATGTCGGTGAATTTCAGGTCCCTCGTGCAAACGTCCTTGAAACGTAATGTAGGGCGGCCTACTGGACAGTGTTCCGTTGGCAGCTCACCGTATAAGATGTCTTCTAGTATACGGTCGTCCTTTATTCGATGTATATGACCCAGCTAAACACACACACACACACACACACACACACACACACACACACACACACACACACACATATATATATATATATATATATATATATATATATATATGTAAAGGGTGTTCCACTAACTTGGACCGATTTTAAATGTGAATTAATTTTAAGCATGTAATGGTTTTTTTCGTTTTCTTTCAGATTTGGCGGACATTTGGGCAATATTATTTTTCACACATAATTGCCATGACTTAAATAACATGATCCAATAGATAAATAAATTTTCACCAATAACACTGATTTATTTAATGCTAACTTTGATCTGTCTTAATGAATATTATATATGTATGAAGGTTGTATCATTAAGACGGATAATTTCTACTTATAAACTGCCACTTTCTGCCTGTTTTTCTTTGAGATGTTATAATTTTTATTATTTACATCATTTACTATCGGACTAATATAGTCACCTTTGCTGTTATGATCACAACCTTTCGGAAGTGATTAAAGCGTTAATTGGTGAATTCAGTCAGTGGGATAGACAGCACAGTGATAACATGGTAATAATTGAACTCAAAATTGAGTGGAACGAGGTGAATCAACCCACGTCGATTAAATGAAATATTTACTTCAAAATTTCCTGATGGCTACACAAATTAACTAGCACCTGAAGTAGGCTGGAGAGTACAATTAAATAAATCTTCTGATAGTAAAAAACAAAGATTAGGATGTTAATCAGTGCATAAATAACGTAAATGCTGTTTGTTAATATCTTTTGATATATACGAATGACACATGACATATTAAAAGGTGGTCATCGGTACAGAAACAGTTTTTGAACTGAATTCGAAATCCTGAGGATACCATGGAATGAACATGTGAGCAATGACAAAGTTTTAAAGAAATTGGAAACAAAGTGGACACTTTTAATTAATATCAGGAGCATAACTAACATTTTAGAGCATATAAATAGAAAAGAGGGCTTAGAAGATCTGATACTCATAGGACATGTTAAAGGCTGGATTAAGAGAGGTAGCGAAAAGTTTTGGTTTGGTTTGGTTTGTTTTACGGCATATCAACCTCCATGGGTTATTTAATGCCACAAGATTTTTATAGCTGGTAATATTTTTTTTCAAAAAGTATTTCTGGTAGTATTTTTCCAAAAATGTATTGCTGGTAATTTTAAAAAAAAAATGGTAATGCTGGTAATTTAAAAAAAAAATGTATTGCTGATAATATTTAAATATTTGTTCCTCTGGTGGCAGCCAAAGGCAGGCCCCAGACGGGCCACCGTTGAGTCTCTAGAGGCCCGCCAATGGTAACATTGCCGAGCGGAACACGCCTGCGGTCCGACAGCGGGCCATCAGCGGTAAACGCTAGTGGCTGATTGGTGGCTTGCATGTATGGAAAGTCGTAGAGAGCCCATCACTTATTATATATTACTGCTTCACAGTATGTCTCATTGTCTGTCTGCTAAACTTTACCATTCATATTGAAATTGGTATATTTTCTCGGCGGAATATTTCACATTGATCGGAGAGTGACTATAACATTGGGGAGAATCTGTCCTTATTGAAATCTGAGTACGCAGTATTCTCGAATGTTTCTGAGATTTCAGACACGAACAATGGGTACTACGCGAACAGTTCACAATCATTAACATTTGCTTCTTTTTGTAGTGTTTGACAGTTGATGACTTGTAGAAGGAACTAGAAGGTCGTCTACCACGCAACGCGCAGTTTTTAAGCGTTGACTCACTACAATTTCCACTCATTTTAGTAGTTCATATATTTTTATTATTACTTCCACTTCCTGTTCTGCCACCTATTTTCATTAATTTGGTGAGTAGGTTATTCAGTGTCTCTGTTTGTCCCTTTAGCCTTCATTATGTCCTATAAGAGTAACACTTCTCTTTTGCTTCAAACCTCTTTGAAGATGTTTTCGGGTATCCATTGTCATATAAGAGGATTGATATTACATGTTATTTCAGCAGTCTTGCCTTCACTTGAAAGTAAACTTTCCTTTTTTTTGTTTAGTTTTGGGAAGTCATCTTTTGCTGTTTCAATGGACCTAAGGGTTTCGATGTCACATTTCCATCATCTGTTAATATGTTTATCAGTTATTTCAATTTATGTACATATTTCAGTTTAATTTTGATATCTCCAATTCGTAGCTCACGTATTGGGCTGTTTTTACTAACACTTCATGTATTTTTTCATTTTATTGACATGTCTAGAAGTTCTTCTAGTTGTCTTTCTCTGTTTAGAATCAATGTTTTGCAGTTGTGATATTTGGCGTCTCTAGCTGGACAGTCTTTTCTAATATGGTCTGTTAACCTACGAAACTATTTGCCCATGTGCTGTTTTTTAGCTCTTCTGTTGCTGCTGGTTCCAAGATTTTTTTTTCTTGCTGGTTATTTCCTCGGTAATTTTGAATTGTCTTGTATTTAGGTATGTCTATTTTTTTTTATTTCCCTTTTGTCAGTGAAAAAACACAACCGTTTGTTTGCTTGGTTAATTTCTGCTGTTTTATGACTTGTATTACCCTATCCCAGGTCGACCACAGGCCTTTACCTTAGTAGGCGTCCTCTGCCTTCCTCATGTTTTCTGAGAAAGACCCAGGCTCGAATGAGGGAGTTCTTTCGTCCCCAATTATATATGATTCTACCAGTTGTCACAAATGAAATACATATTCATCAATGGGTTCTCCGATTTTTAAGCTGCAAAAAAAAACAAAAAAAAACAAACAAAAAAACAAAAACAAACAAACAAAAAAAAAACAAAAAAAAAAACAGAAACCTTTTGTATACGACATGTCTTTAGGAGACGAAATGCTTTCATAGCTCTTCTAAAATTCTTTCGGAATAATCTGTTTGTATCTTCTATAATAAAGGGTTGGTAAAAAAAAAATCATTCAGTCGCTTCCCACTATAGTGCACAGCGTAGCTGCAGTTAATTATCTACCATTTTGTAATGTTTCTCGTAAGATCGTGGTCATAACACAGTATCCCCACGAGTTCTCAAAGTATTTCCAGTTTTCGACAATATTCGTTTAGGTGACATAGTAGCAGGGGTTAGGCTTTGGCAAGTAGCCATTACCCTACAACAATGGTTCTCAATTTCAGCAGAAGGCTCGTCTAGAAAAAAGAGGGTTAAAAAGTAAGTCACGTAGGAGAGTGATACAACAAAAATGTAATGTCCGTTTGCTTGAACTTTGCTTGAAATTTGTGTCATAATGTTTGTTTCACTTCAACGTTATTTTCCAGTTATTTTTTCTTGTTTTGAAAGTAGCCGAAGGAATGTATTCAATACAAGATAACTTTAAAGTATAGAGTTTTCCAGTGAGGTAATTTAAATATGTACTTCCCTTTTTGTGTTAGTTTTCTTGTGCCTTTTTCTTCCGCTTTTTTCTTCTGTAAGTGTCGTTCTTTTTCTTTTTTTCTTGTCAAATCTTTTTATTTCTTGACCAAATTCACCACTTACTATCTTCTTTAATTTGTTTTCAATGAATGAATTTACATCATTTCGATAGACTCAAATTTGTTTTTCGTTTCTGAACTTCAGTGTGAATGATTTCATGGTTCTTAAACCGTTGCCATCATATGGGATTCCGTCCAAGAAAAAGAAGACACGGCCAGCCAGTTCGAGTGACAGAATTCACCTTTATTATTTAACCTATATACAAATGTACCGACTCTATCTTAACCAATCAACGTCGAGTTTACAAATATTGTCTTTATTTTCTGCCAATCAATTAGCATTGTTTTTTACAACATTTTATACAACAATGAGAATTGATACTTAAATAATATATGGAGAGCAAGCAGAACAAAGGAAAACGTCGTGTAATCTATTTAATGAGTTTGCGTAAAAGTATAACAGGGACTGCGGGCAATAGTAAGGAGCCAACCCTTGCTTAGAGTAATTACCTGCTTCTCGCTGTTTCTCTTTCTCAATATATATATATATATATATATATATATATATATATATATATGATATTATTTTATTTTTATTTACATTCTTAAATTATAATTCCACCCCGAGTATTCATTTTGTTATTTGATATTACTATATGTTTGTCAAATATGAGTTACCCCTTGATATTTTTTACTTTTGAATCCAAATTTAAATTCAAATGATCTCAAAAAATATTTTTTTTATTTTTTATTTCTTCGTCTTTCGAAATTATGATTTTAAATGATATAAATTATTATTACTTAATTTTAATATTTTAAGCAACAATAATGAAATAAAAAAGTTTTAACACAAAATTTTGAATCAGCACCATGAGAATGCGAATTAACGGTCAGATTGTATATTTACACCTGTAGATTGCAGAAACTGCATGAAACTCCAAGCCGTGCTATCGAGGTTCGATATTATGTACATTTACTAATATATATATATATATATATATATATATATGTGTGTGTGTGTGTGTGTGTGTGTGTATGTATATATGTATGTTAACTGACTGTTTCATGTTTAAATGTAATCATCAGATCTGTTGTGTTTTTGCTTGACTATTTATAAAGACGGGTAGATGGTCTATTGTACTATCCTTACGGTTATTGGCTGTACGGTAAAGTTTATGTTTCAAATTATTCAAACTAGAGGCTTTTGTGTTGAAATAATTGTGGATCCGAATTTTTCAGTAATTTATAGTCATTTTGTTATCTTTTTGCACATTATTGATCATTGAATATTTTATATGTTGTTTATTATCACATTTACTTGTGTTCATGCGTATATTCCTAGTTTGTTAATATGTTTATTATTTACTTAATTTGTTTACTTCTTTATTGATTTCATTTTTTAAGGAAGGGTGAGGAGTAAATCAGTGGAAAAACACAAAATCAATTATAGACTGATTCCGCAACCTAAATGAAACAAACAAAATTGCGAATTTATAAACTAGAGATAAAAGATTTCTACTCTTCTATAACGAAACCCTTGCTACATAAGCTCAGGAACAAATAAAAATAAATACTAACGAAGTAAAAATGATTAAACCCTCTGGAAAATCGCTATTATTCGACAAGGAATAATCGAAAAAGGGGATAATCGAAAGTTTTGATAGAACATAAACCTGCGAGCTTATAAATATACAATTACTCTATGAACTAAGTAAAATAATCGATAAAAACGATATAGGTCTCTACAGGAACGACGGTCTGATAATATTAAGGAACTGTGTCATACAAAAAAGAGACAAAACCAAAAAAAAATGATAGCAAATTATCAAAAATATGGGATTCGACATAGATATAAAAAAACTTCGGTAAACGAAGTTAATTCCTAGATGTCATGTTCAATCTAAGAAACGGTACATAACGATATAGAAAACCCAACGACAAACCAATTTACCTGCACACGTCTTTCAACCACCCGCCATTAATAATCAAGAAGATTTCACAATCAGTGAACCCCAGGTTATCTGGCAGTTCTTCCAAATAAACTATCATCAGAAATATTATGAAACAGCCCTGAAAGATAGTGGATTTTCAGCAACACCCACATACATACCACACAGCACAAAAAAGTCAGTCGGAAAAGAAACAAGATATTGGTCAAAATACAACAAAAACTTAAAAGAAAAAAACTTTTTAAAAATGTAGGAAAAATATTCATTAAACTCATACACAAACACTTCTCACATCAATCACTCTTCACATGATATTCAACCAAGAAACGGTAAAAGTCATAATAATAAAAAAGCACAACGCACACAAAACATCATCTAAATTAGTTAATACACGAACAACATGATGTTTTCTAAGCATATAGGGAATTAAAAACAATCACATTAAAATATAATGGGTAAAAAACAGACAAATAATAAATCCAAAGTTTTAAACTGTTTCTGGAATAGAAAATAGCTACAATTACCTTGCCAGACCAACAAAAATTACTAAATAAACGACCAGAACCCATCTAAAAATGCAGACAGGAAAACAAATTTTGCTACGTTATTTAAAAAATCGAACACTAACAACGAATACAAAAATAAAAGAAATAGAATAAAATACAAGAAATAACTAAACAAAAATCTAAATTAATAAATAAGGAAAAAATTCATTAAATAACAAATATATTAACAAAGTATGAATGTACACATAAACTCGTAAGTAAATTTAATAATAGAAAACAACAACAAATAACAAAGCAATCAATAATAGATAATGAGTACAAAATGTTAACAAGCACCATTATAAAATAGCTACAAATGACAGCCTTCGGATCCACCGTTATTTCTGCACAATACCCTCTATTTGAATCATAACCATAACCGCCCACCCAGTAACCGTTAGGATAATGTGATAGACCCTCTGCTCATAATATATATATATATATATATATATATATATATATATATAGTCGAGACAAAACAAAATACATGGCCTGAAGATTGCGTTTAATCAAGAAACAAACATCTGCCGCTGAATGTCCATTTTTATATTTACATACCCCCACTCCTTGATAGTGGACACTTTAACCCATAAATATAGCATACCATATTATCATTCATATACATACATTATATATATATATATATATATATATATATAGAGAGAGAGAGAGAGAGAGAGAGAGAGAGAAATTCACCGAGTCTAGAAGAATCCGCAATAGAATGCAGAAATCCCTGGACGGCCGCATCCACTACCGAGAATTGAACTTGGACCCTTTCGATACAACGCAAGCGTCATACCAACTCTACCAACGAAGAAGAGCAACGTCGTCCCCCAAGAGAAACATATTCCCTTTCCCCATTCGCTCCATCGCAAAGCATTAGCTGGATCAATCCAGCATATACAAGTGATAGAATTATTCTAATTCCTCAAAATTCTATCACTTGTATATCCTTGGTTGACTGAGCTAATGCTCTGCGCTGGAGCGTCTAAGGGGAAAGGAAATATGTCGTTCTTGGGGCACAACCTGTATCGAAACGGTCCAGGTTTGATTCTAGGTAGTAGATGCGCACTGCTGATGAGTCCCAAATAGAACGAAACGGCTGTCCAGCGATTTCTGTATTTTGTGTTGGACTCTTCTAGACTAATTCCTCAAAATTCTATCACTTATATATATATATATATATATATATATATATATATATATATATATATATATATATATATATATATATATAATAAAAGGCTCAAACACTAATATTCCATGGTTATAATTTATTACATTGGAATCGTAATCACAATCCAATTCATCAGACCTACAAATTCAAAAAAGATATTATATTCTTACTCTGCCCTGGACATTGAGTTCTACCTGGAGTCTATTCTCTTGGTAATTTATATATATATATATATATATATATATATATATATATATATATATATAATGCTGTTTTGAAACGTGAGTAGGATTGTTAGGTAACTGGGATTACATTTCTCAGAAAAATGTGAATGAAATTAAAGGATTTAAGCATTTTAAGATTTTCCGTGATATATATAAATAGATAGGCATTATGCGTTGATTAGATTATAAATTAAGCACTTACTACATGATGGATGAAATTTTAGGATCTATAAGAGTTATCAAGTTATTATCGAGCTTATGTTGCTTTGTTCTTCATTGATTACTTTTTGCTTCTATGATCCATTTCAGACTGCTTCCAAAGCCATGTAACTATACTCATTATATATATATATGTGTGAGTGTGTGCGTATCCGTGTACACACACACATATATATATATATGTTTCTTTGTGTGTGTTATTGCAATAATCTCATATTTTTGAGAGGACATTATGAACAAACTGCTGTAATCATTATTCTGAGTTGAGCCAGCAGAAGGGAGCAACTCATATTATTTTCATATTTTAATCTTCTATTAATCTCTGCTGTGTTTGGATAACCTTGCGTATCATTTGCGTATCATTTCTTGGCTCCTTGGACACTGTGTATCGGTGAGAATTTCATAGATATATCGTTCTCATGTGTTCTGTCATAGTTTAGAGTTCCTTTAATAACAGAATTGGAAATCGCGTTGGCAGATTCACACACGCAGGAAAATAAATTCATTGCGATAGTGTAGGAGTTGATTGCACGTAAGCACAAGGCTTCAGTGTGAAGGGTTAAACATTTCATTTTAACATTCTACTCCATTAATAGATACCATTATGTAAAAGATTTTTCTCGAAGAAGAAAACTATTTGAAAGTGTTTTAACAGATAAAAAAAAATGCATATTGTTTTCAATCTATAGGCACAAAGGATATGTAGTTATATAAGATGGAGATTAACTGCAGTTTCTTCTTTTTTTTCTATGTTTTGTGTCCCTTCAGGACGTGAGCACTTATTCATCTCCACATCTTACTGCCTTTTGAAGTTCTTATCAGTGTTTGACTTATTACTTTCGCTTCCCATTTTCCGTCTTTAGAACCATTTATGCAAGCTCGCAGGTAGTTTAATATCAGTTTGTCTCTGT